TATGGTCGGATTTTGGTTTAAAACATTTTATGTTTTAAATAATAACATTAGATTCAGAAATTGTGTATACTTTCTGAAATTTGACCATGATTAGAGCAGTATTGGCTGAACTGTGTCAGATTTTCTCCTACTACCAAGGTTGTTAAATTGTTTACTCATGTGAAGGCCGTTTAGGCAGCATGCAGGCAATTAGCAATCAATCATCCAACCCACCAGTGACCGTTTCTTCTAAGGGGAAGAATTTCGTCATGACATAAAAAAACGATGTTCTGGTCCTAGGCATAGCTAGGCGTAGGCCTAGCTAGGCCTAAACTGTGATGGTAATGTTAGTAAATATACGTAGGCCTAGGATTCGTTATTTTGATTTTCATCAGCAAGTATTTTGACTTCGAAAACACATACTCTGCTAATAGGCCTAGGCCCAATATACTATTTGTGATAGGCCTTGACAAAATAATCCTATCATTTATTCACTAAATAATAAATAAAATGCAGAAATAAAAGCTTATATGTACAAACCAACTAATGCTGATTAATTGTTTTTAGATTTATATTTTCATGATCTGAATAGTTCCCGAATTATTGAGCAAATAATATACAAAAATAAGCATTACGGTGACCTTGTTAAATAATTAGCTGGCACAGGGGATTAGAGGTAATGTTACCAGCTGGCGCTCTGGTTGACTGAATAAGAAAAGAGCTGGCAGCGTAAGGGTTAAAGGATATTTTTAGTATTTTAACCTACACCCATGATATTGTAGAAGAAAAATGACAATATGAATGTTTATTGATTGATTAAGTAATATCAATTTCAGTAAAAATAAAACATAGTAACATGATTAATATGAAAAGGACGGTACATTTTGTGGTTTTTATAGTAAAATTAGAACTAGAAAATTTAACAATGTATAATAACAATCCTTTCTTCACATAGACCCTTATATTGGCTGGTAAGTCAATTTTAAAATTCAAATTATAAACTTTTCACTAGATTTCAATTAATTTAAATTTAATAGAACTTAATTTAAATTAATTACTATGCATCCTTCATATGGTTTGTTTTGATTGATTGACAGGCAATCATGTCAAACATTGGTAAGCCATTCTGGGAACAACCTGATGATATGTGGGACACAGTAAACACAGTGGGATTAAGGTAAGCCCATCAAATGTATCCTATAAATAATACTGTATTATTTCATTTATTGAGAGTGTTTTAACCTCTTCTTTTATTTGTTGGTTTCATAGTCCTACCAGAAAGAAATTCAAAAAATTGTTAACTTAAGTTCCAAATTATTAGGTAGACATTTACGTAGCAAAATGTAACTCATGCTATGTTCAGTGAGTTTGAGCTTTTGCCTCATGGTCGACGTTTTCGATGTCCTGCATGCAAAACTAACAGGTAAGAGAAATTCATTTGTTCCAGTAGCCAGTCGACTTTTACACAATAACCAATAAAAATTGTGAGTGATTTAATTGTGTTATAATAATAGTGTTTTAAATGTTTTTTAAACATTTTTAAGCTTTGTAATCAAGATCCTTTTTTTGAATTGCCCTATGTAGGATGAATTTATAAAAATGTATTTTATTGTATTGTAATATTGTGTTTGTTAATTTAAACCTTTAACCCTTTCCAGTCGTAGGGAGTTGTGGTGACATCTAATTTACCATTAAGTTTCATGTGGGGATTCGCAGAGACTTGAGTTTTCCAATTTAATCACGTTTTGTTCTGCTGCCCTCAACATTTATTTATTTCTCTCCCACTCCCCCAAATCCACTACTGTACCTGGTATAAAAAAAATAGCTAAACTATAAACTAAGAACTATCAAAGTCTTAATGACTTGTGTTTCCCTCTCGAATCATGAATGTGTCATGTCGGAAATTGCCCTTATATGGAAAATGAAACATCAAAAACAGCTAGCGGGCCAACAAAGCAAGTTTTAATTTAATTTCCAACTACCCCAAGTAAAGTGGTAACTGACTCGCAAGAACTAACCTTAATACAGTCTGGTAGAAGTACGTTTTTACAGTGTTTTAAACTACAGTACAAAGAAATTTTAGCCTCTTCTCTTGTGTTTCATAAGACATTAAAAATTACTCTAAAATACAATAGGTAATAAGCACAATTTCAGGTGCTGCACAAAACAGAATTATAGAAGTATTGTAAATAATATTCACAACTGGGTTTCTGAAGTCTTAATTAATGCTACTGTAATTTATTTATTTTACCACAAAAGTGGCATGCAACATCAAATTGTGTTTTATTTGAATGTAATTTAAATTTTTAACTTTTGAGGTAATCCCTGCAAGTTTGGTATCATTTTGAAGCTACCAATTTAAGCTATCTCCCAATGGTGTAATTTTATCACCATGCTAAAACAGATACGGTGTAGTCCTCAGGCATGTTTTGTAATACTGAATTTCAAATATCTGCCCTAAAGCAATACTGTAACTATTTTCTGATATTAATAAACCTTAACAAGCTACAGTAGGTGTGAATAAAGGAACTATTGCTAAAATCAGGCAGGAATTAGTGTGTTACGGAATTGCAGGGATGGATCCATTATTTGAATGAGGGGGTTCAAAATATGTCCAAAAAAACCCCCCAAAAAGGGGATCAGGTCCTCCCCGGAAAAATTTTGATTCCTAGATGGCTGGAAATGCGCTTTTGAGATGTCTGTTAATGACTTTTAAGTTCTTCAAAATTCAAGGATTTCCCCCTCTTGACAAAGGTCATGTATTTTAATCTCATCCTTATTACATTAATAGGCCTATTATGTGTGTGCATACAGAAAAAGAATCAAAAGACATAGACAATATATTATTATATTCCAATATTGAGTAGTTTGATACATAGTTTCCTTCCATGAATTGATGAACTGATAGGCTTGAAGAACGCACTTTCGTATGAAAATTATGTTTACTACGTCAAATCAAAAACAGTGTTTTTAATTTTATATAATTATTTATTAGTTAAGGCTAAACCTAGTTTGTCGATCTGCCAACCTAGGCCTAGGGGTAGGTGGTTAGTATGCCTTTTGTAGGATAAGGCACAACCTATTTATAGCTGTACATACATGGTCAGACTATAATATAACGCAATTGTACGCACCATTTTTTTTAAAAATTCAAACGTTCAAATACATTTTTGGAATGGGGAGGTATATTTTGTTGGTTTTAGATTATCATATAAAAATAAATAAGAATATTTTCCTAATTCCCATCAAAATTTTATTGTTATTCAGTTTCTTTTATTACTGTACATACAGTATTCAATTATTGGCTGAAATTGTTTATGTTTTAATTACTTAAAATAGCGTATTGTTGTATTGCATTAATTATATATGTTAAAACTTTCAGGTTACAGTACCTTAGCCATCTATAGTTTATCTCTGCAACAGTGTAGGAGTCTTAAAATGGGGGGAACTGATGGGAGATAACGCGCGCAACAATTTGTTTTTAATGATGATCCATTCAGACGACCACCGCCAATCAGCAGACGGTGTCACATGGTCTAGCGCTCACAGGGGGGCAGAGTTAGATTTGTCGTGCGATGGTAGTACGACATGGTGAGTGTCCGGCTTAAGTTGAACAATTTTTCAATGCCATTTTGGATTCGACTTAAGCAGACAGGTAAACTTCGGGACTTTAAAATAATTATTAATATTAGATTGTTAATTGTTAATTAACTATTTTATTACTTAATTTTATAGGGGTCATTTCTTAGCAGCAATAGAGGCAGCCAAGTTGATGGTTCCTGCAAAGCAAGGCCTTATTGTAAATGTGTCTTCTGCTGGTGGTCTACGCTATTTGTTCAATGTTCCATATGGTGTGGGAAAGGAAGCGGTAAGTAAAGGTGAAATCGGCTCTTGAAAGCTTGTGATAATGAACTTTACACAGTTAAGTTTTGCAATGCCTATCTTGGTTTAGTTAATGTTGATACAAGATTCAAACTACTTTGTGTTATTTTTGAGGTATATGATTGACTTGCACCATGGAGGTATTATATATACCTCCATGCGTGCACAGACTTTAAGAACCCATCACATTGTCATTATTATTATTATTATTATTGTTGTTGTTGTTGCTGCAGCTGATGCTGCTGTTCTTGCTGCTGCTGTTGTTTTTTGTTGTTCTCATTATTATCAATATTTAGGTATTTTTAAAAAGAAAGGAAAAATCTTTAAGGTATCAGAAGAAGAAGCAATTGGCTCTAAGCTAGAAATTCCAACATTTGGTGTGAATATTGCTAATGGCCCTGTCACACCTTGACGATTTAGACAGCGTATGCCGACGTATCAAAATTTCTCAAAAACGCTGGCATACGCTGAACTATCGATATTTTTTTTTCTATCTTGGGCTTATACACAGCGTATTCATAACGAGTTGGATGTTTACATAACATATTAGCAATAACGTTCACAACTTATGCCCAACGATAGTTTAACTTAAGCACAGCACGGCAGCGTATTGCCGACGATCATGTGACGGAGCTTATAAAAAAGCTGCCGCTCGTCGATTCAAATCATAACCGCACTAGACATCACAATATCAAAACCACCGTATTAACATCGTCCAATTTTTATACAATCTCCCTAAACGCTTCAAATACGCTATATACAGTAGCTGTAAGTTAGAGCCATGTTCAGTAAGTTCTGTGGTCGTCCGGAACACGTCAAATACGTCTACATACATCTATAAGCATTGGAGAAAGTTTGATATAAGTTGTACATAGGTTCAAAGCATGTTACTTATAAGTAAGAAATAAGTTTTTGGTAGTACGCTAGACATTGAGGCACTTCAACTTTATGAGTAACTTACCTACAATTTATGGCCACATATGACCCAACGCTGGCATACGTCGGAAAATTTGGTGCATGCACAATTTTTCAACATACTTGCCGTATTCCGACATAATACCAACATGCTTCAGCATGCTCTTAACTTCTACAAAACTTGCCCATAACTTATTCAAAGTATGCGAGCGTATCGGCCCAATTTTTCATACGTCGGAATAGCTGGCTAAATCTTCAAGGTGTGACAGGGCCATAACTGTTGTTATTCCCAATAGTATAGCCTTTGTAAATTTCTTTTCTTTTGTATATTTATCTTGAAATATCAATAAAGAATGGTTAAAGTAAGTATGAATGTAATTATGAATAAATCAATTTAAATTGTTGATAATAATTTACTTTTTAATTTTCATTTTTTAAGTGTGATAGAATGGCTGCAGACTGTGCATTTGAGTTGAGGAAACACAACATAGCATTTGTGTCAATATGGCCTGGTGCTGTACAAACAGAAACGCTCATGGACAAGATCAATGATTTCACATTTGATAGGGTAAGTTCATTGACCTTTGAATTGCAAACATGAATGTCTCCTGCCTACACCAAAAAAGCAAAGCAAATGTAAATGCGAATTTTATAGATCGTAAGACGAGGGCGAAAATAAAAATAAACATTAGTCTTCTTATTTAGCAAATGGTTTCTTTTTCACAACTTCGAGACAATGAGGAGAAAATAAAAATAAAATGAATTGAATAAAAAGTGTAGTATTAATGAGATGGTAAAATGCTTTAAATTTATGAGGAAAAAATATACATATCTTATTTTTTGGAGATTTTAATGCAGCGCAGGCCGTAATAAAAATAAAGAAAAACTTTTTTTTTTATTTCCGTTTTTTTGTGGCAGCGGGTGTACTAATTGGCCAAAAATAAGATTATATTTTCATTCAAAATTATTATTGGCAGGCAGTGGGTTCACGAAACAAGGTATAAAAAAAGTCTTGCCTTTAATATAATAAAAAGACAAAGTTATTTTTTCCGATGTTGTCTTTACAATGAATTAAAAGGAACATTTTTGAATAGTTATTTAATTCCCTGTAACTGCTGTTCATTTAATTGTATTATACATCTGCCTTATTTTATTTAATTATTATTGATTTATCATTCATTAAAAACTTTGTTTCCATTGTCTTCTTTACAGCAAATAAAGAATGCAGTTGTGAATGGTGAAACTATTGAATTCCCTGGAATTGCTATAGCTCATTTAGCTGCAGGTAAGTTGGTATCAGATGTGTTAAAGCCACATTCCCAGTAAAATTTCAGTTTTTAAGAAAAATCTGATAATTTTTTATATATGTTATTGTTATAAAGATTTAAAATTATAATAAGAAATTGCTACTTTACCTGAATTTAGACATTCCTAAACATGAGAAAAATGTAAAATAAGACTGAAAGTTGATTTTTTTTTTTTGTGTTCCACACAAAAAATAAACGCAGGCTTACCTCAATTTAGTGAAATATGTGAAATATGATATTTCATATGAATTATTTCAAATTTGTTCAAAAAATTATTTTGAACGAGATTTTGACAATTAAACATCTCAGGCCTACTCGATCAACCGCAGTGTGGGAGATGCGAAGTACAGAAACTAGTCTCATTAAAGATGACGCATTTTATTGACTGTATAAAGTATACAAAAAAGTGAGAGCATTCCAGCGGATGCAATATACAACCTCTGAATTTGCCTAGTAACGAAGAATTTGTTGAGAAAATGGTAATTTCTTCTATGAGAAATAGCCTCTATTTCTCATTTGTTTATCCTTTGGTGTAAAACTAAAATGTATGCCAATATTTTTCCATGGTTTATGATAATTAGAGTAATGCATATGCATTTTTTCTAAAAAAATTCTTTTTTTAATTAAATTTTGCCGGGAAAGGGGGTTTTAAGCGCTGGGTGCATCATATATAAGCATATCATGACTATATATATGCATACAACAGTTTTTTTGTCCAGTACAATTTCAGAGTCTTGACAGGACTCCTGCCTGCCAAAAAAACCGTTTGATGATTTACTACAGAAATTTTACTACAACAATCCTTAAAATGATAACCAGCCAACATAAGGGTCGATGTAAAAGAATACAGGAAAAGTATTAAAGATATCCGTTCAGTGACTTTGAATTTTTTTTCTCATACAAATTTTTAGTTGTAAGTTAATAACTTATTTTGAAATATTATTTAAATTAAGCAATTCAATATGAAATTGAAATTATTTTTAGTGTACTGGCATATGGCTTGCCCCTTTAAATGATGGTATATGATGAGTTATTGCTGGTTTTATTGTTCTGGCATTCCTGGTTTGATAAAATAGTAAGCATGGAGAGCCAATGAGCTTTGAAAGAAGCGCTTAAAGAAAGGCACTATAGATAAGAGGTTTGGGGGGTGGAAGTGGTTTGGCGCAGGGTTTCAATCCTTCACTGTGAATTTCGCTTGTGTCCTTGAGCAAGGCACTTCATCTACATTGCTTCAATCTACCCAGCTGTACCAATGGGTACCAGCAAATTGCTTGAGTAACCTGCATCCGCTTCACACTACAGAAACTTTGGATAAGTTCCATCCCTATGTGCCTTAGTGGCTCGGCAAGGATATACTTATACTATATAAATAAACAAATGAATAAAAATAGATTTTCCATTATTGTTAATCTTTTACTTTTATACTTATAATATTATTATTATTATTATTATTATGTTACTAAAACCTGCCTTAAGGAGAAAGTAGACAATGGAGAATTTGGAGAACAATTAAAAAAATAATGTTAAGAGAAAAATAGCACAAAGGATATTCCCCTTTAAGTCTGACTTAATTCCCCTTAAGTCTGACTCAGTGACATATTATTATTATTATTATTAATATTATTATTATTATTATTATTATTATTATTATTATTATTATTATTATCTAATATTATCTAATATTATCATACAACAAAGGTTCAATTCCCTCTCATATTTTTCACCTTTTCTCTCTACAGATCAAAACATAATGAAGAAAACTGGTCGAATCTTTTTGACAGTAGACCTTGCAGATGAGTATGGATTTAAAGACATTAATGGACAAGTTCCGCCTTCATACCGTCGAGTTAAAGACTTATTGAAGATGGTTAATAGAACATGGTTAGCGGCTTGTATTCCAGGATTTATTAAAGTTCCCTTCTGGCTGATATCGTGCGCAACCCACAAATTTTGATAACTATGATTTTTATCCCTTGTTTGAAATTTGAAGTATAACAACCGAAAATTTAATGAGATTGTAATTAATTTTGTTTTATTTTTAAACAGTTAAATTTATGACATCCTAGCTAACAGTGTTACATTGTAATATAGTTTTAATAACGTCCTAGTTTGGTGTACCAAACTTGTTTTTGTAGAACCAAAAATACGTATTTGTAACACTATTTAAATACAGTACTTTGTAACATTGCTTTGTTGCTGTAACGTTATCTTAGCATGCAGTACCTAACTACAACTTAATACCTTTCCTGATATTTTGCTTAAACAGGGCTATTTTAAAAAACAGACTGTTGCATGTTGTCTGAAATTGTGTCCTGTATAAATATGTTTAAATAAATAAACTTCATGAACATTATAAAGTTTGCTGAGGTAATTGTTATATTTTTTAATGAAATTCAAAAATATGCTGTGTTGGTATCAGGACCGACGCCCTTCGCATTACTTGTGTCCTTGGACAAGGCACTTTACTTACGTTTGTTGCTGTAACGTTATCTTAACATGCAGTAAATAACTACTGTACAACTTAATACCTTTCCTGATATTTTGCTTAAACAGGGCTATTTAAAAAAAAACAGACTGTTGCATGTTGTCTGAAATTGTGTCCTGTATAAATATGTGTAAATAAATAAACTTCATGAACATTATAAAGTTTGCTGAGGTAATTGTTATATTTTTTAATAAAATTAAAAAATATGCTGTGTTGGTATCAGGACCGACGCCCTTCGCATTACTTGTGTCCTTGAACAAGGCACTTTACTTACGTTTGCCTCTCTCCACCCAGGAGTATAAATGGGTACCTGTACCTGCTAGGATGATGTGGCAATGCAAGTATTACTCTGTATCAGCATTAAATTGCACACATGATTAGGAGTACTCCCCAGGGAGTGGAGGAGGTTGCACCACTTTGTGCTGGATTGATTATGGATCCAATGACCAAGGGTAATGTTAACATCATCACCAGCACCTTGTATTCCTTGGCAAAAGGCGCAGTATGAATCTCTATATTATTAATATTATTAATTTATTGAATGTCACGGCCCTGTTCCTACCAATCCTTTCAACACTACACAAGGATCGTACTTTTTAGTTTTTTAAGAACTAAATTGACATCTCCACAGAGTATGAACTCGTGAATAGACTCGATAAGAAAAATTTATTGAATTACAATGTGTGAATAGTAGGCTATTTTATTTGATACGTAATGCCTTTTAAATACAAATACAGTACCAAATAGAATATAAATATATAGAAACATTATGTCAGTAAAATATATTACAAGGTAATAAAATCTGGATCATACAAAGAAACCCATTGTGTGTAATTTTTTATATAATAATTCATTTAATTAATTCAAAGATAAAATAAATACAACAATAATGTTCAAAGACATAAAATACTTAGTGGGACTTCTTAGACGCGTAATACTGTACTTCAAATTGGGTTAGCTCCAGACATTTCAATGAACAAAAGTGTAAAATCATTCTTTATTAAAAAAACACAATAGAAAGAATTTGACACAAGAAAAACAATTACAAATAATGACAATTTACCCACTCAGACGAGTGCCTGGCATTCCAGATAACATTAATTTGACTTCCAGCAACTACTATAACTCGTTACATCCTTAAAACATAAAAATAGTGACAAATTATGCTGAACTACTACTTCCTATTCACTTTTAATAGAAACAAACACCTGACTTAACATTTTAAGAGTTAATCATAATACTTACTTTAGCATAATTGGATGATCATAATTGGGATGTTTTTTTTTTTTCGCATGTGCTTAAAATTCCTTGGAAATAGGTCTTCCTCATTGAAGACCCCTCCAATTAAAGACCACTATTCTGTTGTCCCAAATTAGCAAACGTCTTGTCTTTATTATTCTATTTAGAGACCAACTGCTAAAGACCTTGGAAATAGTCCCAAATGTGGTCTTTAATCGGAGGATACCTGTATTCTGAATTAAGTAACTGTTCTTACTGAAAGTTTTGTTACATTTAAAACTGCGTATTCATGATTGACTCAGTAGTGGCGCCAGGATTTGCCCGATAGGGGGTACAATGTCCCGAACGGAAGTGGGGGATCCCCCACCCCTATTAAAAAAGTGGGAAAAGTCTACTAACATGTGGATTATACATGTACATTTTTTTTTTCTCAACAACGAATTGTGGTTTTCTGCCCAACGGGGGGAGGGAGGAGGCAGCTCTTCCTGATGGGGCCACCACTGGATTTCCCACAGCAAGTGTAACAATGGTTGCTGTGGAGACTGGGTCACAGTTGGTTAATGAAAGTCAAAGGTTCTGGTTTTGACGGTTTCTGGACAAAACGGCAAAAAACCAAAACGGCAATACACCAAAACGGCAATGATAAGTACCAAAACGGCAACAGACCAAAACGGCAATGTCAACTACCAAAACGGCAATAGGAATAGACCAAAACGGCAAAGGAGCAAATCAATGCCAAGACTGAAGCGCCACCTGTTTTTTTTTTTTTTTATTACATATCCATGACTAATAATTATTTCGTTATTTTAAAGTCTTACTTATTATTATTATTTTTTTTTTCCCTTGCCGTTTTTTACTTTTATGACATAAATTTTTAGCCTCATATTATCTGTATTTTAAGGTTTTAATTATTTAAATGTTAACTGGTTTTATAGCATTCTTTTTACTATTGTATTGTATTGTATGTTATTTTTGTTATTGTTATTATTATTGTTATTATTATTATTATTATTATTATTATTATTATTATTATTATTATTATTGTTGTTCCTCTTCTTCTTTAAAGTGTTATTTATTATTATTATTTTTTTCTTTCGTGCATTTTTACTTTTATGACATAAATTGTTTAGCCTTATTTTGTCTGCATTTTGAAGTTAATACAACTATGTTGTAACTTCCTCTGCACATGCCACCATTTAGCTATCGTCTCTGCTGGTATCATATCAAAATACACAAATTATTGGAAATATAAATATAGTTTTGATAAAAATAAACGTAGGCCTATAAATTTTGGTTTATTGCCGTTTTGAACTTAGGCCTATTGCTGTTTCGGTCTTGCCGTTTTGACTTATTACCGTTTTGACTTATTGCCGTTCTGGTTGAAAAGTGTTGCTGTTTTGGTTTTTTGCCGTTTTCCTCATTGCCGTTTTGACTTATTTCCGTTTTGGTTTTTTGCCGTTCTGTCCAATTTT